TGTGCTTTAGTTGGTTGCATTACTTCTTCCGGAGTTAAACGTCGTAGTGTTTGTCGAGGTGGTGCTGGTAGTGGTGGATGTTGTCGTCCGGTTGGTGAAGTAGCCATCGGACTATCCGGTAGTGGTCGTGAACTTGACGTCGATGTCGGATGTTGACGGAAGTCGTGGAGGTGGTGTGGTGCGTTGTTGTTTTGTTGCGGGTTCCGCAACGATGTCGTCCGTAGCGTTCGTTTGTTGTCCGAAATCTTGCGTGGACCTTCTTTTCTCTGACGGTGGTAGTTGCGCGTCCAACAGTGTTGCGAACGATGGGTTGTAGGTGTTCCGTCGTGGTGCCCACGGTGTGCCGGAAACTTTGTTCAATAGTGCGAGGTCGTATTTGAAGTCCGGTTGTAGTCTCCGCACTGTTCGTACCTTTTGTACGCCTGATTCTGTTGCGACGTAGTTTTCTCCGGTTTCGGAGACTTTTCCGAGCCAGATGCATTTCTGCATCCGTAGGTCTGCTTTTGGGAGTTTCTTGTGTTGTGGTGGAAGGTAGAGTAGTGTCTCGCCAAATTCGCAGATTGCTCGCTCGTAGTTTCTTCCCCAGCGGCGTTCAAAGCTTGTGTAGCCGTCTGAGTGGATGACGTAGCGATTTACCGTCCATGCTGCATGTCGTACTATCCAAGGTAGCTATCCAAGGTAGTAGACAGTGCTTTGTGGACATCGTCATGCTGTAGTTGCTTTCAACCTGAGCTTTGACGACGCAGATTTGTCCGAGGAGTGTTCTATGTAGTCGCTCAACGCTTCCTTGACTGTTGCTGCTGTAGGACGGTGAATGTCGTACAGTCATTGGGCCGACTTTAGATGCTGTTGCTTGTAGTAGCGCATTGAGTGTGTCTTCGTTGTCGCTTTGTAGTATGCCGTGTGTTCTTCCGCATTCAAAGATGAATGCTTGTAGGTTGCTGATCATGTAGTCCATCATCGATGGTTTGTCCGGAACCAATACCGCCATGCACAGTTGTGTAGTAACATCAACTGCCGTTAAGACTGGTATGGTCTTCGGATCTTGTTGTGATTTGATGTAGGCAAAATCCACTTGGATGATGGGTTGTCGTGATTGTTGTTTCTTGTAGTTGTCCTGGCGTCCTTTGCCTTGAACGCAAATTGGACACCAATTTCTGTATGGTAGGTGTGTCAAGTTGTGTTCTGCTATTTGTTGTGGAGTGGGCTGCTGAGGTTGTCGTAGTCCTATTGCTCTGTGTGCTTCATGATGCTCGTGTTGTTGTTCCTCATCGTGGTTCTCTTGGATATACTCGTAGTCTTTCTTCACGGTGAACCTTGTTGTTCCTTTCCATTGAAATGGTAGTGCTGCGTTGCCCATGACTGTCCAGTCATCTTTGCGTTGTGAAACTTCTCCAAAGTTGTTGTGAGTGATTGTAGTTCTGTGAGGTTCAAGTGTGTTGATTGGTGGATGTCCTGGTCCATCTGTTGGAGTGAATAGGGTTGTTCTAAGTGTTGTGTGGTGTCTTATCCAGTGTTCACCTTGTCTTTCCCAGTAGTCTTGGTTGTCCTCCTGTGCTGTGAGTGGTCTGTGGATTGTCTCCTTTGGTTGTGTGGTGTCAAGATTGGTAGAAGGTGCTGCTTTAGGTCTCCATATCTTTTGTGGTGCTCGTAGTTGGATCTTTGATCTGGTTGGTGGTGTGTCCATTAGCCGTTGTGGTTGTGAGCTCTGCCTTGTTGGTGTTGTCTTTGATGTTGCTCTGCGTGTAGGTGTTATCTTTCTTCTGAATCTGGTTTCTCCAGTCCAGTTGTCACCTTCTAGTCTTCGTTGTAGTTCTTGCTTGGAAAGTTGTGTTGGGTTCTCTTGTAGTTGTTCTTGCTCTTGCCCTTGTCTGTTGATGATGGTTAGTCGCCAATCATCTAGTTCTCCTTCAGGTATTGGGCAGCCGCTGTTGTGTGGTGTGAATAGTGCTTTGCATAGTCGTTTGTGTACTCTGATGGCGTAGTCACCATCAAGTTTCCAGTAGTCAGTGTTTCCACCAAGGATCTGTCGTAGTCCTTGGTCTGTGTGGGTGAGTGGTGCGATTTGTTCTTGTTGTTGTACTGCTTTCTCTGTAGTTTGAATCACAGCAATGGATTTTCCATTGTATGTAGTCATTGGGTAGATGTCGAATCCAGTAGGGATGTCGATCTTCTCTGCTCGTAGGTAGAAAAAGTCCTGAGTGTCTTATGAGGTGTGCTTGTTGTTGTCCATGTGTGATGGTGCAGTGTCGTGGAGTGAAGTCAAGTCCATATCCTCTATCAAGTAGTCTTGATGCACTGAGGATTGGATACTTCACATCACAAACGTAGTAGGGTATCATGATCCTGAAGTTGTCCTGCTTGTAGGGAACGTACTTGATGCCGTAGACAGGAATCTTCTTGTTTGTAACCGTGTAGAGTTGTGGAACTGATTCTCCACAAGGTCGTAGCGGTAGGTCTGGTGCGTAGTCCTTCGGGCAAACATGTGTAGATGCTCCTGAGTCGATCAAGAGGTGGTGATATGACTTGAAGTTGGAGTACATGATGTAGTGGGTGATATTGTCCTCAATCTTCTTGTTCCTTTGTTGTTGTCTTGCTGCTGCTATGTCGAAGTGTAGTTTTGTGATGTCTTCTTGTAGGAATTGTTGAGCGCTCTTGCTATGGTCGTTCCATGATGTTGTGTGTGTTGTTCTTTTGCCAAGTGGTGATTTGGATTTATGCTTGGGTAGTCGTGAGTTTGCTTGTCTGATGTGTCCAATGGTGAGGTGTGACTCGTTGATGCCTCCAATGTAGTTTGCTGTGTCCTCATAGCTGTTGTCATTCCAATCCCAGCTGTTGTCATAGTCGTAGTCGTTCCAGTTCTCCTCCATGTAGTTCACCTCGTGTTGTCCTTCTTCTCCTTCGTAGTACCAGTCCCAGGTGTCGTTCACATCCTGAGGTAGTTCTTCATTGTTGTCATGATCTGCTTGTTCATTTTCTATTGGATGTAGTTCTTCTCCTTCTCCTATGTGCCATACTGGCACTCTGCAGTCTTGTGCCCAGTGGCCGGGCTTGCCACATCGATGGCATGTTGTGTAGTTGTTGTTTCCTTTCCTTTTGATTTGCTGTAGTTTCCTTGGCCTTTGTAGCCTTTGCTTGATCCATATCCTTTGGATCCTGAGTAGCCTGTTCCTTTGCTCTTGTTGTATCCTCCTTTGTTGTAGTTTCCTTTGCTGCCTTTGTCGAATCCTTTGTAGTGGCCTTTGCTTCTGTACTTGCCTTTTCCTTTGTTTCCTTTGTAGTGTCCTTTGCCTCCATATTTGCCTTTGCCTTTGTAGTTTCTTCCTTTTCTCCAAATGTTGTCCACGTCCATTGGTGCTGTTCCACCATTGTAGTTTGTGCCAACTGCTGAGCTCGCTCTTGAGAATGCAGATATGGTTTTGTAGTAGTCCAGGATCACAACTCTGATCTCGTTGTAGTTCGTGATCTGTCCAGCGCGTAGTTGGAGATGTTGTTGAAGTGCTCCTTTAGTCTTGTTGAGTAGTATTGCAATCTTCACTCCATCTGGTAGTGCTGTGCCGTTGTCTTTCTCGTAGCGGTTGATGTCATACTCCCACTGTAGGAATTGTTCTGCAAATTGTGCTTCATTGAATGTAGGTTCCAGTAGTTTGGTGAGGTAGCCAACACTGCGTGTTCCTACTGGTAGGCTGAACCTGTTGTGCCGTAGTGTTTCACATCCATTGGCATTGTAGCGGTTTTGTCTGACCACTGTAGCTGCTGCACCTTGGCAGATGTTGATGAGGATGTAGTGTAGATCTCGTGAGAGGTCTACTGCTTTTGCTGCCTGTGTAGGGTCGCGTATGTGGGCTCTGATGTCTGCATCTTCAATTTGTCTTGTAGCTGCTTGTGCTAGTTGTAGCACCATGTCGAAGTCTCGGTCGATGAGTCCGAGGTATGCTTGTAGTTTGAACAGCCACTCTTCGTACTGTGAGTAGTCACCAGTGAAGAACGGTGGTGGCAGTTTGTATTTGTGTAGCCTTTGGACGTCTTCCTGCTCCTGTGTTGTTCCCGTAGTTGTGGCTCCTATTGTCTCCTCTGCTGTGGGCCCGTTGTCTGCTCCTGTAGTTGGTTGTGCTGATGCTGCTGCTGGTTCTCCTGACATGTCGTAGTAGTTGGGCATGTGGTTGCCTGTGCAGTTGTAGTACTTACTGCTGTTACTGGAGCTCCCCTATGTTTAGGATCTCAGCTCCGCTACCACGTTAAAATACGTTGGTACTTTACTGCAAGTGCAAGTGTTGTTTCTGTTGTCACAAACACAAATGTAGTTAGCCAGCATGCACTCTTTTCCTTGTAGACTCAAGGCCTGCAGTCGGGTAGTGTACATCATGCATGCACAAGTGACAAGTAGTGCAACATGATATTTGACAAGAGCGAGAGAGAGAGAGAGAGAGAGAGAGAGAGAGAGAGAGCGAGCGAGAGAGATTGGTTATATAATAGCAGGGTGTCTCACCTTCACTCCTTCACGGAATCACGAAACACCTCCAGCTGACCATCAGGTTGGCAATCCGGAGGTCTAGACTCAAACCACTGGCTTGTGTTTGGGCATCTCCTGTGGAACCCTGTTGTCAGACATATTGAGACAAACTCATAGTTTTGGTTCCACCACAACTTGGAGTTCCCGAATTTGGCCCCCGTTTCTTCCAGAACCCCGCTATTATTTCCCCCACCCGTCATTCCAACCCTAAATCTGGGGTGTTCCAAGACGATCCTTCCTTGGGCAAAAGAAATTGGTCCCCTTTCTCCCTCTTAAGCATCAGCCGATGGAACATTGCGAGGGCCTCGTGCTGATGCGATAGGTGGGGAATGACCGTTAAATGGTTTTGGGAAGGAACCATTTTGGGATTTCTTGACTTGAAGGGAAGCCAGAGGGGAGTTCCCTAGGAAACCATCGGGGATTGTTTGTCTCGGGGTCGGTCCATGCCTCATTCCCACGCGGGGCTGGACTGCAATCTTGCTGCCAGGCCTCCCATGAGGTTGAGGCGGCGCAGCAGGAGCCACCGGAAAGTGCGGTTTTTGTGGCCGTTTGAAGTGAGGGGAGGGTTTGGAAGGCAACATGAAGCCCCTTTTTCTGTGTTCAAGGATGGTTTTGCTTCAGGCATCCCTGGTCAGCGCATCAAGACGCCGACTGCAAAGATTGGAAAGCATGTCGGAACAACACACACAGGTTGCAGAGAGCTCTGCGATCCATGCAGGTTTTGTCTGTGAGCCACGCAATTTCCAAAGCAAAGCCACTATGGTGCTGGGTCCATGAAACAGGAAGTCCGGCAGGTGCTCGGTCGCCAAGAGAGCAGCTGAGCAGCGCAAAATCTGGGTGACAACAGGAGCTACAGCAGCGCGCTCGTGCGCTGCAGATCATGACTCCTCAGCTGCAGAAGGTCGCCGTTGAGGCCGTGAAGTCGGGTCCATGGCAAGGGGATCCCCCCGTTTTAAGCGTGGAGAAGGGCGACTTGGTGATTGGGGAAAGTCGCCATGGCACGTGGCTCGCGATGTGGCAAACCTTTCTGGGCAAGTTGCCGACGAGAGTACAGCGGAAAGGGGTTTCTGAAAATGGGATTTGATGGGACCTCCTTTTGGTTGGCAAAGGGACAAGAGGGAAACCAACCATGGGGGGCCCATGATTTGGCGAACCACCCTTGCCCAAAAAACAAAGCCTTTTACAGAGTGATCATATGGCTGTGGCTCAAAAAACCGGTACCAAAATGGAACCCTGGCAAGTGGAAACATGGACCAAAACCTGCGTCACCCCTCCTTTTTAATTTTGAGCCACACCAATGTAGAATCCAGCCCAAACATGGACAAACCAGAAGGCACTGGGGACGATCCGGCACTTGGAAACGTTCAGAAGACTGATCATTGCAGTGACACCGCGGGACCCTTCCGTTCTTTGAGGCCCAGGCGGTCTTGGTGGACCAGCGATCCGATCTCGGTGAGCAGGACCCGGTCCTTCCAGCTGCTGGGTCTGTCTGTTTTTGGAGTACGCCCCTGCTTGGTTAAGGGAAACCAAAAAGGACGTCGCGGCCATTTTGTGGGTCTACAAAAAAGACACGCCCTGGTAAGTAGCCGGCGAAAGCCATCATGTAAAACAAGGTTGCGCCCGTGTTAGTTATGCAGGAGATGTCGGCCTGCGGGCAATGTTTTCACTGGAACACTTGCGTCACGCTGCTCCAACAGATCAAGGCCGACGTTCCGTCGCCACATCCATGAATAGACATACTCCCACAGCTCTGCATTGACCAGTCTGGTCTAAGCATCTTTGCCGGAATGCTTTTGGGGGCTTTGTCCTCAACAAGCTATCTGTCAGTTGTGTACCGGCAGTGAACGTTTTCCCATTCTTTTGCATTCCGAATATTTAAAATAAAAGAGGACGGGTGGACAGCGGCAAGGCTGACGAGAAGTACGAGGAAGGATGACTAGAGCCAGAGCAAAGACAAAAGCATCGGACACCATGCAGCAGGGCACTGCTAGCCAAAACTGCTCAGCAGTGAAACCAACGGTGTCACCCCCCCCCCTCCCCCAGCCCCCCCACCCCCCAAACAAGATGTGCAAATCCTGCTGCGTCACACAAGAACACAAGATGCGCCAATCCTGTTGCGCAAGAGGCGCAAATCCTGCCGGCCGCAAGCTACGAAGAACATTGGCCTAAACTGGTAGCTGGAAGGGATAGCTGTTCTGTTTCGAGCCCGGGGTTGGTTCCAGGTTTGTTCAGGGTTGATTTTGGGTTGGTTGAGGGTTGAGGGCTGTCTAGTTTAGAGTGACTTTATGGAGTTAGTTGAAGTAGAGCCATTCGGCATGGCAAGGAACCGGGCCCAGCGTGGAGACAAGGGATGCTTTGGGTCTAGTCTCCCAACATTTCTTGGTGCTGACTGCGTACTCTCAGAGACTCAGATCTTCGCTTCCTTTGCTGTGCGTGCCATATGAGTTGGAAGTGAGACATATCATATTCTGTTGTTCTTCAGCCTATGGGCCCTCAATCCTTGGGTCTGCACACACGGATCAAGCCTCTTCTCGCCAACTCTTTATTTGGCTATGAATTATTTGAGTTGGAACCTCCTCAGTGGTTGGTGTACATGAATCCCCATGCCCATTCACAGACTTCCTCAGTTTCAGCCTATCTCTGCACATACACGTTGGAAATTCAGGGAGGAGTTCAATTTCCGCAAGGTAAGACATAGACGGGTGCGTTTGACGAAACATTGCCCTTTTTGCCCACATCCGAAACATGGCGGAGCCTTTCATGCCACTTTCACTGTAGACCCCGACGGTAGCTTGTCCCTCGTGCACTTTAAGAACGACCCTAGCAAAAGAAAGACTCGAAGATGCCCTGTGGTTGAGTCGTCCCGGTGTGTTGTGTTAGCCTTTTTGTTTGTTTTGGTTGCGTTTGTTTGTTTGTTTGTTTGTTTGTTTGTTTGTTTGTTGTTTTTGTTTGTTTGTTTGTTTGTTTGTTTGTTTGTTTGTTTGTTTGTTTGTTTGTTTGTTTGTTTGTTTGTTTGTCGATTTTGATTTGTTTTGTTTTGTTTTGCTTCTTGTGCACCACACCGCAACTCCCCGTTCACCCCGTTCACCCCGTTCACGCCGTTCACCCGCTTCGGATGGCTCAGGAGCCGCCGCTGTTGGGGAGCTTGGAGCGTGTGGTGGCGCTGCGCCAGCACCTCGCGGCCCTGGCGGCGCAGCAGGCGGGGACGGGAGGCGGATGCGGCGAGTTTGTTTTTTTTAGCTTTGGGCGATGTGGGTTGGGAAAGCAAAAGGAAACCCGCAAGATTCCATGGTCGTTTGTTCTTTGTTGAGATTTTGGGGTCTGTTTTGCAACCTGTTTGTCAGCAGGAGTTGTTTTGGATGCAGGTGCGCATGATGTTCCGTGGATCTCCTGGGCCTAAGCGCCTTAGACGGGTCAACATTTCCGTATTGTGTTTTGGTTTTCAAGGGCTTCGGCTCTTTTTAGTGGGAGGATTTTTCGTGTGCAGTTCTGTGTGGGGGTTCAGCGACTTTGCTTTGGTGTCATTCTCCGTGTTCCGGGCTACTTTTTTGGGAGGTAGACTCGCAACCCAGGAATTGGCTCCAATCCCTTTGGACCAATCAACCATGTTTCTCAGAGGTGTACGACAACTCTGGGTGGACCCAACGCAAGAGTATTTGTTTTTGTCTTCTTAGAAGCGTCTGGCAACAGTGTACCAAGCAATGTTGGAGTTCCTGCAATGGATCTTCCATTCCCCTTCCACCGAATGAGGAAAATACGCCACCGAATGAGGAAACTACGATGCAGGAGCAAATCCAGGGCGAGCGAAATGCTACCCTCAAAAAGACACACACAGACAGACACACACACACACACAAACACCCAAGTGGATTCAGCAGAGATTTGAGAACATGTGCTTTTCTTCCAGAAGGACCTTTCTACGAGTCTTCAGCGATGCCCGAACAATGATTGTTGCTATCTTCAATTTCCAGAAAAGGCCAGGACAGGTTTGAATATATCGTACCTCAAGTCTTAATGAGTCAAACCAATGCACAGCAACTGCATGTGAGGTTTGAGCCAAGACGGCTTGATGTCTAAAATCCGGCAACCCTTGGTTGTTGGTTTGGATATGTGGTTCGGGGTTGGTCTTGTTGCTATGGCAGATGAAAAACCACCTCCAAACCACCAATCAGAGAGAAGCAGATCGGCTCTAGTTGAATTTAGCCGGAGGGTTGATTCTGGTGCCTCCAATGTCGAGAACTCCAATGCTTGGTTTGCTTTTGGATTCCCTGCAGCCGAAAGTGGGCTCTCCGAAAAGAGAAAAAACAAAAACAGTTGTTGCCAGCATCCTTCTACATATAGTATATATTTGTTTGTTGTTTTGGGCGGGGGATCAACCATTGCACTGATTCATGGCCAGAAGGATCTCCATTTTTCTGGTGCAATGTCGGGGTGGGGCATGCCTTCACCGTTTTTCAGCTTCTTTTTGTGTTTAAAGGTTAGTGTTTGAGTGTTTTGGTTCCGTTCAAAATTTTCTCCCTTTGCGGGGACTGCGCAAACGAAGCAGACACGGTTGAACATGACAAGAGGATTTGGAAACATTCAAGAAAAGACACGCCGGTGCTTTCCTAGCTGCTGCAAACCCAGGCTGTGATGGAAGAAGACGTTGAATTGCATCCCCCCCAGCTTGTTTTTTGGGCTCATAGACCAAGAGCTCAGACGAGAGTCACATCCGTTTCGGCTGGAGCTTTTTTCAGGAGTCGCTCAAGGCCGATCTGCTCAAGGAGGACGGATGTGGTGCGTGCCAGAGTTGCTCGGGGATCTACCCTCTGTCCCTTCCCGAAGGGAACAGGGCTTTTGAAAAGGACAGTCCAAAATCCCATCAGCTTCCATGAGAGGGGCGGCTCCTCAGAGACTTCGGCTCAGCTTAGGAACCTGGGGTTGAACTCTGGGTTTGGAAGTCGAGGGGTCCAAAGGCATCTCGTTTCTGAGACAACCCTAGGTTTTCCTTTTGTGTTTGGCCAGCCAACGTACACCTCCAAAGGGGCAGTTCCTGATGTTCCTTTCGAAATGACACTTGATGGTGAAGAAGCCTAGAAGAAACAATGCAACCACTTCTAGATTCTCGCAAGTTGTCTGACCTTGGTCACTTCGGGCACTTGCGACCCATGCGGGCTCACTGAGCTCGTGTTGCTGAGCCTCAGGAGGCGACCGCATCTGACTTGGTGGGTGAGGCGCAAAGGGTGGCGGAGCAGGCACAGAAAGAGGAGCGCCGCGCACAGGATCTGGTGGCCAAGGCAAAGGAGATAGTGTCGAAGAAGCGACAGGAGGAAGCAACAGAAAGGGCTCGGCGCGAGGCAGAAGCAAAGGCGAGGAAGGAAGCTGAGGAGAAGGCGAGGAAGGAAGCGGAGGAGAAGGCGAGGAAGGAAGCGGAGGAGAAGGCGAGGAAGGAAGCGGAGGACAAGGCGAGGAAGGAAGCGGAGGACAAGGCGAGGAAGGAAGCGGAGGAGAAGGCGAGGAAGGAAGCGGAGGAGAAGGCGAGGAAGGAAGCGGAGGAGAAGGCAAGGAAGGAAGCGGAGGAGAAGGCGAGGAATGAAGCGGAGGAGAAGGCGAGGAAGGAAGCGGAGGAGAAGGCGAGGAAGGAAGCGGAGGAGAAGGCAAGGAAGGAAGCCGAGGAGAAGGCGAGGAAGGAAGACGAGGAGAAGGCGAGGAAGGAAGCCGAGGAGAAGGCGAGGAAGGATTCCGAGGAGAAGGCGAGCAAGGAAGCTGAGGAGAAGGCAAGGAAGGTAAAGGCGAGGAAGGAGGAGAAGGCGAGGAAGGAAGCCGAGGAGAAGGCGTGGAAGGAAGCTGAGGAGCAAGCAAGGAAGGAAGCGGAGGAAAAAGCAGAGAAAAATACAGAGGAGAAGGCCATGAAGGCTGAAGCGGAGGAAAGCACGGAGAAGGAAGCGGAAGAGAAGGCCAAGACGAATGCAGAACAGACATCCGGGACATCCGAGAAGGCTGCGGACATGGCCGAGAAGAAAGTGGAGAAGGCCAAGAAGGAAGGAGAGGAGAGAGCCAAGCTGGCTGAAGCGCAGGCCACGCGTGCAGAACGGAAAGCCGAGAAGGCCGGGGAGGCCAACAAGACAGGACAAGAGGCTGAGAAGGTGGAAGCAAAGCTGCTACCAGCCAAGAGGAAGGCAGGGCTGGCGACACTGAGGGAAACCAACAGGAAAACCACCATACAGATCCGTTTGGGGGTTGACAAAACCGAGATCCCCATTTTGTGGGACCGCTTTTTCGTCATCAACCCATGTGCCAAAGAACACGCTAGTGAGTACTGCAAGCAATTTGATCAGCCCCAAGCTATCCCTCGCAATGGTTGCTGACAAGGACAGGGACCATTCATTTCCATCTCGAGACAAGAGCAAAGTGTGGAGTACAGTTACACCAGTGTTGCATCGAGGCGCTGCTAGCTACGCCTGAAATTGTTTCAGGACTGAATGATAAGAGCTCAAACTGAATGGACAAGACGGCATGAGATCGACCCCAATTCATACCCAACAAAGGAACAAGACACACCCAAATGGTAAGGATGCGGGCGCCCGCCCCCTTTTTGTGCGCAGGCAGAGAACGAAGGGGTCCTTAAGCCCCCGGCAACTTGGCTTTGCGAAGCTCGCAGAATCAGGTGCCAGGGATGCATGTTGGCTGACGTCGCACAAAGCTTGTGGATGCAAAAGGGGTGCCCCCCCCCACCCCCAAAAGTCAGGGATTCTCACTAAAATTCCCCACCCCTCCCCCCCCCTGGTTGAGCAACTAAGGGTTTATTAATCCTCGGTTCCCATTAGAAGTCCTGTTGAACATCCTCTGGGTTGTGTAGCCTTGTGTAACCCGAAGGACTCGTCAGTCTTGTGTCCTTTTTGTTGTGTTTGTTTTGGTTCTTGTTGTTCCCGGGATTATGTATTGCAAGCTGGTGAACCAGTACCACACGAAAGATGCATTCTTGAGGCGACCCTTTTTGTGGTTTTGACGGAAAGCCAGAAGGCAAATCCAGTAATCCACAGGTACGCATTTGTTTCAGTGGAACCAGCTGAAACTGCGGAGTCGACTTGGAGTGGCAAAACATGAGACGTAAACCTGCTGGCACGTTCGGATCCAAGTTTCTTTGCCACAAGACGCGGTGCAGTGAATCCTCTGGACCGCTGTAGAAGACCGGGGACATAGAAGCACGCCCGCCTGACTTGACGCAATTCTCCCATCGCAACGGTACAGATTTGTGTGTGTCATCTTTTAGGAGACAGCCACAATGCTGGTTGTCCTTTGGATTTCCCTTTCAAGACAAAGAGAGTCCCCGAATAAGCGTCAATCGGAAAGCTCGATTTGCCCCATTTTGAGTGCATGGACATTGGATGAGCTACCTTGCTGAATTCATATTTTCTTTTTCACTGAATCAATAGTTCAAGTTTCCAGCCAGTCCTATCCTTGGAATCGTGTTCCTGCGTAAGTTAAATGCTTTCTTGCTATGTCAGTGCATGTTCGACCACTCACGTGCAACTTGGAAGCTTTGTGAAGGCCAAATAAAGCCAACTGGCCATGAACTTTAATAGGAAACCAACTCAGAGTGGACGTGAGAATCCCCGCCGAATCCCGACGTTCACCAAAGGGTTCCTAATAAAACATCATACCCTCCTGTCCATTAATATGGACCCCACCAAAAGGTCCCTTTTCAAGGAAACGAGTTTTCCAGAACCTCAGTCAGGTTCCATGGCAACGTGGCAGGAGGATACCCACGGTTGGGGCCCCTGGTCGAGGGTTGGTTCTATCCCGCTTGCGGGTTCCTAGGTCCCAGACCCTGCACAGCGCCTGGTGGTGAAGTCGGATGCTTGCCCCACCGTGGGGGCCCCGCTGTGCACTCATCACACTTCGAACATGATGAGAGTTGTGAGTAGCTTACTTTATGATGTGTTTCTTGATATGGACCATGGGGCCATTGTGTTTTATAAGGGGTGCTATTCGGCTCAACTCATGAGTTGAAGTCTGGCTTGCTTGTGGGGTAATTTGATGATATGTTCAGCCCGGATCTGGCACGTTTGCAGATTCCCAGCCACTGTGTAGCATGCATCAAGCATAACCTTATCATCAATGGAAGTTTAGACGGCACTTCCTTGGTGTGGCAACTAGCTCTCCGACACAGAAGACTAGAGAAGAATAAGCACGGGCGAAAAAGTACCTGCACGTGCGAGCGAATAGACATGTTAAAAAGTGCATTTCTCTGATCTCGACGCGTGGGGTTCGGAGCTCGTTCGGAGCACTCGGAACGGGCTCACAGCCGGGACCATTGGCGCTGACGCACACGCTCTTCGCGACATTCTGCGTGCCGGGCGCGGCGCTTTCGCAAGGTTGACCCATTACGTTCGCAGGGTGAAACACAGATTTCGTGGCGGGCGCAGCAGTTTCGCAAGTTCAGGTGCAGGTTCGTGGCAGGCGCAGCGCCTTCACAAGTTGAGGTACAGATGATGTCGTGGGAGGCGCCGCGCTTTTGCAATGTGAGGTGCAGATCTCGGGCACGATTTCGTGGTGCGCACAGCACTCTGCAAGGTCAGGTACAGATTTCGCGGCAGGTTGGGCAGATAGAAAAACAGATAGGTTGGCAGGTAGGCAGGTCGATGGACACATGGATAGATAGAGAGCTAGATGGGTAAATAGGGAGATGGAGAGTCAGATGGAGAGCCAGATGGGTTGAGCGGTAGATATGTATATTGACAGAGAGATTAGATAGAAAGGCAGAAAAAAGAGGGAAGGAAAGAAGGGAAGAAAAGAAGGAAAGAAGGAGGAAAGAAGGGAAGAAGGAAAGCAAGAGTGAAAGAGAGAAAGAGGCAAGAAAGAAAGAAGAAGCAAAGAAGGAAGGAAAGAAAGTAAAAAAGAAAGACAGGAAAGAAAGAGAAGGAAGAAAGGAAGAAATAAAAGAAAGGGAAAGAGAAGAAAAGAAAAGAAAGAAAATCAATTGGAAGAAAGAAAGGAAGAAAGAAAGAAAGAAGGAAAGAAAGAACCACAGAAATAAATAAATAATTAAACAAAGAAAGACAGGCACAAAAAGAACATGCAAAAAAAGAAAACACAATAAAGACAAACAACAAAATAGGTAAATGAAAGAAAGACAGAAAGACAGAAAGACAGAAAGACAGAAAGACAGAAAGACAGAAAGACAGAAAGACAGAAATACATAAAAGCAGAAAGACAGGAAGAACGAAATAAACAAAGAAAGAAAGAAAGAAAGAAAGAAAGAAAGAAAGAAAGAAAGAAAGACAATACATAAAGAAAGAAAGAAAGAAAGACAATACATAAAGAAAGAAAGAAAGAAAGAAAGAAAGACAGACAGAAAGAAAGAAAGAAAGACATACAATAAAGCAATAACGGAAGAAAGAAGGAAGGAAGGAAGGAAGGAAGGAAGGAAAGAAAGAAAGAAGGAAGGAAAGAAAGAAAGAAAGACAGACAGAAAGACAGACAGAATGCAAGCAAGAGAGAAACATATAAATAAATAAAAACGGAACAAATAAAGAAAGAAAGAAAGAAGGAAGGAAGGGAAGGAAAGACAGGCAGACAGAAAGACAGAAATTAGCAAGGAAAGAAATACACAAAGAAAGAAAGACGAGAAGGAAAGGCAGGCAGATAGACGGACAGAACGACAGACAGACAGACAGACAGAAACAAACAAAGAAAGCAAGAAATATACAAAGAACGAAACAACGGCTGAAAGCAAGAAAGAAAGAAAGAAGGAAAGAAAGAAAGAAAGGAAATAACAACAGACAGACAGACAGGCAGAAAGACAGAAAGACAGAAACAAAGAAATAAAACAAAAGACATATAAAAGACGGAAAGAAAGAAAGAAGGCAAGGAAGGAACGAAAGAAAGGAAAGAACGACAGACAGACAGGCAGAAAGGCAGAAAGACAGAAACAAATAAATAAACTAATAAAGAAAGAAATACACAAAAAGAAAATCAGAAAGAACAAAATAAGGAAAGACAGAAAGAAAGGGAAGACAGAAGGAAAGAAAGAACGAAAGAAAGAAAGAAGCAAATACAGAAAGAAAGAAATAAACAAAAGGAAAAACAGAAAGAAATAAATTAAGAAAGACAGAAAGAAAGGGAAGACAGAAAGAAATAAATAAAGAAAGACAGAAAGAAAGGGAAGACAGAAAGAAATAAATAAAGAAAGAAAGAACGACAGGGAAGAAGGACAGAAAGCAACAAAGAAAGACAGAAACACAGAAAGATAAGGCAGGAAGACATATATAAGAACATACAGACAAAGTACAGAAGTAAATGAAGGAAGGAGTGATGAGACAGCGAAATAGTTCGTGGACAGGTAGAAAGAAAGCAAGGATGAAAGAAATTAAAATAGTGACAGACTGAAAGAATGAAGGAAAAGACAAGAAAAGAAGCGAAAGAAAGAACGGAAAAAGAAAAGGAAGGAAAGGAAGGAAGGACGGACGATTGGAAGGAAGAGAAGCATATGTGTTTCCTTCTTTTTTTGGGTGAATCTTGTACCCACCGGCTTCGCTGTCTTTACTGGCATCTCTCCCTCCCGAAGTGTATATACATATGCGTATATGTGTGTACAAATATATATATATATATATGTATATATAGTATGGCATGTTTCTAGTTTGATGTCGTTTACATCTGTCTTTGGTATGTTTTGTGCATGGACCTTGCACGCATGCTTCTAAAATAGGCTGCTCTGTAATTTTCTTCTAATCAATGTCGGCGCATCCCTGGCATTATCGTATTAGACGAACACATGACACACAAATGCATAGCAGACACTACATGGTGTTCGCATATGTTTGGTGTGTTCTGCGCGTGTAGGTGAAATGTGCGCTACATTTGCAGGTTTTTCTCTTGCAACTCCGTCAGGTGTCTACTGTTTGCCTGATATAGCCTATAGCCTCAGCATGTGTCGAGCACGGCTAGTGAACATGGAGCAACCCTGGAAGGTTTCATATGCCTAGTTGCATGTATCTAGTGTGGGTCTAGTTTGTGAGGCGTGTGCTGAGTGTTACTCCCCTAGGTCCTGCAATCATGTTTGTCGTTTGTTTTGTTGTCTCGAGAACACCCAATCAACAAGAAAATTACATTGCGGGCCTCATACCCCCTTTGTTGCTGCTATTGCTTTGGTTTGTCCTGTTCTGGGCTTGAAATATCGACAAAAGAGTATTTCAGGGTTGCCCTGAATTGGTGGTTTCGATTGGTTTGGGTTTGGAGTGGGAAAATGGGAACCAATCACAAGACAGAAAGCTGAGTATTTGCTTCCTTTTGGTTTCCCTTTAAAGCAAACCCACAAGTGTTGGTTTAGTATTGGTTTAGTCTTGCTTCCCTATCTGGGGGCCAAACCACAAAATGGTTTCCCTTTGGTTTTCATTCTGAACAGACCCAAAAGTGCAATGGTTTCCCTTTCGTTGCCCTTTACAACTCAAATGGATGTGTCTTCTGTTGGAAAACCGCCACAAATGGCGATTCTCCCTTCGATTGCCTTTCGCCGCCCCGCCAACAAACCAGCCGCGGTGGGGCGGCGGCGCCGAGGTCAGCGGCGAGTACCGCCAGATTGAGGGCCCGGCTCGCGAGCGAGCCGGGTCGAGGGATATTGAAATGAAACCTGCAAAAGACGGACGCTGAGGTCACATTCTTTGAGGCTCTAAGTAGGGGACGCATATCCCCCACAAAAGGAAGGGTGTGTGTGAAATTGGGACTAGTCAGGCTCAATCCTTGCTCCAATGGCAGTGGGCAGCAGGGGTAAAAGTTGTTTTATTCCTTTTTGTTTCCCTTTGAACCAAGCCCAAGGGTACCTTCAAGAAAAACATGCACGCAGGCGAGGGCCGCTAGACCCCCCCCGTAGTTCGGCTTCATTGGGGGTCCGGTTCCCAACCAAGTCCTACACCTTTTTTAAAGCATCCATCACAAAGTGGGCAAGTCTTATTCACCCATCCCACCTTGGAATGGGGATCCTATTGGCCCATGGCATGTCCTCGTGCCCTCAGGTGGCTGGAGCGGGTTCCGAGCCTTCCGCAAGAACGCGGAAACTGTGTGGCTGGTGTGGACCCCTCATGCGGCCTGGGGCCCAGGGGCCCAAGGGCTCAGCAGCTTTGACAACTTTAGGGCCATGGGGGGCTTGCAAAAAAACCCAACCACCCAAAGAGCCTCATGTTTTGGAAATGCTTACAAAGGCGCCAGCAAGAGCGTGCGCCCCGAACTCGCGCTAATCAAAGGTTGCTACATGTTCCTCTCTCAAGACCAGGCACCCCTTCAGGTGCTTTCCTCTTTGTTCCGTTGAAAAACATATCTAGATACTTGGATCGACATTGCAAAAAACAGCGGCGCAGAGAAATACAACATCAGCTATTCTATGTGAAACAAGCGGTATCAGTCACTGCGCAGCGCACCAGGCAAAGTGCAACCAACGCTCAACAACACAAGCGGAGCCGTAAGGATGCACGTGCGCACCCCACGACGTACCAAGCTTCAAGCATCACGGCAACCACACCGAACAAGCACGTCGCATATCCCCCACATATATGGGCATGTGTCGAAATAGGGATTTGGACCACCCAAAATGGTTGGATTCATTTTGTGTTTTTTTTGAACGGTGATCAGGGTACCAAACAAACACACACACACACATACACCTATATGTATATGTGCAAATACATACACACATACATACACATATACATACACATATACATACACATATACATACAGACAGACAGACAGACAGACAGACAGACAGACAGACAGACAGACAGACAGACAGACAGACAGACAGACAGACAGACAGACAGAGATAGACAGACAGACAGACAGAGACAGACAGACAGACAGACAGACAGACAGACATACATACATAGATGCATACATACATACACACACATACACACATACAGACACACAGACAGACACACAGACACACAGACATATATACACATACACACATACACACATACACACATACACACATACACACATACACACATACACACATACACACATACACACATACACACATACACACATACAGACATACAGACATACACACATACACACATACAGACATACACACATACACACATACACACATGCACACATACACACATACACACACATACACACACACACACATACAAACCTGCACGCGTGCACACATGCACACATGCACACATGCACACATGCACACATGCACACATGCACGCACACATGCACACATGCACACATGCACACATGCAGACATACATCCATACATAAATACGTCCATACATCCATACATCCATACATCCATACATCCATACATCAATACATCCATACATTCGTTCATCCATACATCCATACATCCATACATCCATACATGCATACATCAATACATCCATACATTCGTTTATCCATACATCCATACATCCATACATCCATACATCCATACATCCATACATCCAAACATCCATACATTCATTCATCCATACATCCATACATCCATACATACATACATCCATACATCCATACATCCATACATCCATACATCCATGCATCCATATCCATCCATACATCCATACATCCATACATTCATACATCCATACATCCATACATCCATACATCCATACATCCATACATCCATACATCCATACATCCATACATCCAAACATCCATACATTCATTCATCCATACATCCATACATCCATACATACATACATCCATACATCCATACATCCATACATCCATACATCCATGCATCCATACATCCACACATCCATACATCCATACATTCATACATCCATACATCCATACATTCATACATCCATACATCCATACATCCATACATCCATCCATCCATCCATCCATACATACATACATACATAATTACACGCACGTAAACATGCCTGTTTGTATTTTGAAAAATGGGGCTTGGTTTTCCCCCCCCCCCCCTTGTGGAATGGGTTGTGGGTCTTCCCAGGAGTGGTTGGGTGGTTGAGGCTGGTCAAAGATTGGTTTAGTAGGCCGGTTTTGGTCTGATCTTCGGTTGGGTTTGCTGAGTGTTGGTTCCCACGGGCTGGGGCTTAGGGGGTTTCTTTATGGGAGCTAAGGGTGGGTTTGGAATGACGGATGACTTGGATTAAGGTTGGTTTAGGCTAAGTGTGGGATTTTGGTTCTAGATGAGTTTTGGATGAACTGCCGCTGGGGATGCTGGGTCTGCCAGGGGTGCCGCGCCAGGTCCCCGCAACATACCTTTGAGGGCGGAGGGGGGGGACGCAGGACGGGAAACCCAGGATCACACATGTATGATATATGCATATATATATATACACATATATATGTATACACATATTTATACATACAAACATTCTATTATACATATATATATATATATGCACACCCAGATATGTCCAAGTCGACCGCCCAAAATCAAAGGCCCCCAAAACCAGCCAAAGCGGAGGGCGGACACTGGATCTTCACCTCTGAGCTGGGCTCCAAAGACGTGCTGGCACGGAGCCGGCAGGCGCGGGGCGCGGGGTGCGCGGCGACCGCGGCGACTGCGGCGACCGCGTCAGGGGTGGGGTGGGGATGGGTGGGGATGGGTGGGGATGGGTGGGGATGGGTGGGGATGGGTGGGGATGGGTGGGGATGGGTGGGGATGGGTGGGGATGGGTGGGGATGGGTGGGGATGGGTGGGGATGGGTGGGGATGGGTGGGGATGGGTGGGGATGGGTGGGGATGGGTGGGGATGGGTGGGGATGGGTGGGGATGGGTGGGGATGGGTGGGGATGGGTGGGGGGTGGGGTGGTCGAGTAAACCCTTTAAGCCATTCCTTGTGGTTTGAGAAGGGGATCCCAAACGGTTCTAGATTCAAACCCTTGCTGATTTCGGGAGAACCCCGGCTTCCATTCCTTGTTGTATGGGGATCCTTGGGTTCCATTTCCATGTTTAGGGGGCCGCTTCAATCAATCAAGCCACCACAATCGACTGGTCAGGGCTCAGGGTGAGGATTTCGGAACCCACGGCCTCAGGATTGTGCTTGACATTTGTGTTTTGTTTTCTGAAACCGGATACCAACAATCCTTTCCCACCCTTGAGAACTACTGTGGATGGACAAAATCCGCATCGCGCCCGGTGGTAGGTGGTTCACCGCATGATTTTGATTCGTCGATCCCAAGTGGTGCGCAATGGATTTCGTCCACCCAGAGTATGATTTCTACCAGGCTCCACGCCTCCTCTCATCCCAGTTGTTTTTGCCCGAAGGGCGCCGCTTGCCGCCGGTTTCGGCACCTGAAATTGGCTTCTGGGAGTTGGGTCGGTTTGTATCCACGGGGAAGCTTGCAGCAGGGATTGACCTCCAACTTTATCAGATACACAAGGCTAAGGGAGGCAACCAAGGCCACCAACTCCATGGGGTTTATAAATGGTGAGGCTGTTTTGCCCTGTTCAACTCGGAATACTGATAACCCACTTTAGATGAATCTTATGTTAACAATGGTGTTGTCATGGAGTCAGGATGGCTTCCATGATGGTCAACTCATAGCCATATGTTTGTGTTGTTTTTGAGGCTAATTGCTCCTTTTTTGTTTTGAAAGCAAGCCGCAAGCGGAACCTTTTCCTTTTCCGTGGCCATTTTGGGCGTCCCCCAGAAAAAGGGGGACACTCACCTTCTCCGGAAAGCGTGGACCATCAAGATCACCGTGGGCCTCCCCTAAGAACACTTTCTTTTTTTTTTTCCGCGAGGTCTCCTGGACCGCCGGCCCAGAGGACCTCATGTGCCGCAGCTGGACCACCGTGGGCTCCCTGGAAAAGGGCCGATTCGGGGAGCGAAAACGCTGAAAAAACCCCGGAAGCCAAGAGGAATGGTTTGTGGGGGACGGGCCCCCAACCCCCGAGTTCGCTAGGAGTTGGTTGGGCAGTGGCCCGTTTCTGCATTGGTGTAGGGTTTTTTCCGTTTGGGGAGCGGGTTCTCGCTCACCAGTTCGAGGCTGCCTGGGGCGCGACAGGCGGCCAATGCACGGTGCGGGGCCAGAGTTTTTATATTTGTTGCGGCTGCAAGTTTCTGGGGCTTGTGGCTAGGTTGTGTTTCCGAGTGTCTTTTTCTTTAAAAGCAAGGTTGCCATGTTTGATGGGCTGTTGGCGGTTTTGTTTTGCATAGGTCTCGGTATGTCGTGGCTTGGCATTGTTGTTTTCCGGCCGTGCAAGGTCTACATCATCAGGGCTTGAGCTGACTACGCTGGAATTTGCATGATTCTGCTGTGCAAATGTGGGGCGCAGCCACATCACAGTGTGCCAGGAGGCCTTTAGTCAGCTGGTACAATCACATGATTTTAGGAGCCTAGGCGCAAAGGAACTCAACTGCTGTTGAAGTCATCGAATTATTATACGCCCTCAGACAAACTCGACAAGGCCAAGAACAATGTGGTTGAAATTCGTCAACTTGATGTGTCTGATGGCCCACAATTCGATTTAAGCTGCAGGTCCAGCCATGAACGTGTCGTTGGAATCCTTTTCTACTTGTAGGTGTGCACGTGTGCGTGCTATGCCTGTGGCTGTGTAGTTTGGATTTACTTTGTTCCGGAATGTAAGGCCTGGATCAAAGATCATTTTTGTTTTACACTTGGAGGAATCTCGGGATTACAGTACATTGGTTTTGGGATGCATGTCAAAATTGTGTAGTTCCAAGTTCTCAGTCTTTCTTTCGTCGTCTCTTTGGCTGGGCCTTTCAAATCGCTGGATTTGGAGGTCGACAGACGTGGGGACAAATCCGGCGACTCTTGTGAGCACTCTCCCAAAGCACAGTGTAGACTTGGAAGAACTGGCAGTGCTTTCGTCGAATATGGTGCTTTCTGATACGGGGAGTGTCTCACAGCAGTGATTTCTCACCCCTTTGCGAAGGGTTTTCAAGCGATACGGGCGTGTCTCTTTTTTTGGGGACCCCCCAAAAAAGAATAACAATAAGTGGTTTTGCTTTTGGCTTCCACAACAACAAAACAACAAACACGGGTTACCCCAAACCTATGTATCCAATGCCAGAGGATCCCTCCAAGCTCCAAACTTTGGGGTTAGCTTTGTTTTCGTTCTTTTAAACTTTATGTTTTGGGTTCTTTTTTGTTCTCATAACTGTAGCCGTTGGACATGTCGAGTTTTTGGAGATCGGGAGGATCGATCTGCAGGTTTCTGGATTTAGGTGCCATCCGCTGTGGATATGCTCGGATGCGAAACAAGCCACAAAACCGGTGGGAGTGGTCGGGGGGCCTTTTCGGACCTGGTGATTCAGGAGCGGACTGGCATCACGATTCGGGCCAGTTTTGGGATTATTTGGCACCAAAGCTTTGGGTTTAGAGGGTTTGCCAACAGCCAACCCTTCAGCAATTTTTGGTTTGTTCAAGCATGTGTTTGTAATCCTCATCTGAGGGTGCGCACGTTTTCTGGACGTATCTTTTTTTGGAGCTCTTTTGGGTTTCAACCGGAAACCTGAAACCGGCAGCCTTGAGACAGGTGGGACCACAAAGGAGCATGGGCGGAATGTAATCTTTTGAGAAAACATGGATTGGCATTCAACTGGCAAAAGCATTTGCAGATGGGGCGTCCGTCTCACCATGCATTCTGTACCTCGCTTCTGACTGTTGAGGCACCTGGAGTTGTTTCAGAATAGGATACGGAACCCTCAAGATGCGTGCGTGGCTTTCCTTTTGCATCCAAGGCTTCTGACCAACCCCAAGAAGGGTACCAACTCGAAAACAGGAAAGAAGTCCCCGCACTCAAATGCCATGTGTCAAAATAGGGAGGCCCTAAAATGGTTGGTTTCCTTTTGGGGTTCCCCTCCCTCCCTCTCTCCCTCGCTCTCTTAGTTTCCGCTCTTGGCTCTTTAGACCGTATTCACAAAGTGTCCTCCAAGTCAATTGTTCAGCTCACATCCAACACGGGAAATTTTGGATATCATTCATTGTCAGCCTTAAGTGTCCGGAACAGCCTGCTTCCGTGCTATCCTCAACCGTGTTGCTTGGAGTTTTATGTCCAAATTCCCAGCGTGGCACTTCAGATTTGTATGGCTTGTTAGCACCATTCAGCATCAAGTTGGAGGGCACACTTGCGGTTGCATAGCCTCCAGTTTTTGGAGTTTTTTTGTATTATGTGACAAACCCCAATCATGAATCCTTATGCCAGATGGCAGTGGATTCCCTCCTTGCGCTGTCTTTGTTTTATTACGGATTTGGATTGGGGAACTCCGCCCCCATTTTGAGCAACGCAGTTATTTGGCCTGTCATTCCTCTTCGAAAGGTAGATGCGCAAAGCGTTAGGTTCACTTGAAAAAGCCAATCCTTCTTGGAGATTTGTGGCACAAGCGGGTAGGCTTCTGTTTGGATTTTCTTCAACAGCAAGCTTCGTGTGTGTCAACATTGCCCAAATGAAAGCAACTTTTGCTCAGCAGTGAGTACCAGAGAAGTGATCAACTCAGTTGCCATGAAACAACTTATGGGTGTGTCTTGCTTGGCAAGGTGTGTTTTTGGGCTGGTTAAGGACAACCAAGAGGTGAACTCCCCCCCCATACCCCCACTTTGGTGGTTCCTTAAAAAGCAAAGCATAGCCTAGATCCGAGGGCTGGCTGTGCCATGGCCGAGGCGCGGTTGAACGAGGTTTAATTCGGAAAGGGTCATAGGTGTCCTTTTAAGTCAGCTTGAAGATACGTGTATTTCACCTGTACTTAGGTTTGAATCCCCGAAAAGTATCGATTTTTCGGAGCCGAGTGGGACCCGTGCCTACCAAAGCGGAACGGGGGAAGAAAGCCTGGAGTTCTGTGGCACTTGGGGCCGACTTTTCCAGAGAGGCCAATGACAAGTATTGGAGATCATGCCACAGGAAAAGACACAAGCTCTCGCGAGTTGCTTCAGAAAGAGCAAGAAAGAAATCGGGTTGCTGAAGGTTATGTACAATTTGAACCAGACACAGGCTAGGATATTGGCCCTGACTCTATGGGTTTTGGGTAGGCTCCCGTTGTGACTTGTAGACTCATCAGCCACCTCCACGTGGCAATGCCAGTGAGCGCAGCATCAACGGGGTATGTTTCCTGAACTTTCTGTGGCTTCATGAAGGACGCCACAAGGAAAGCCACCATTTCGAGGGTCCCTAGAGTTGCATGTCCTTGCTTCCCGTCAGCGGAACAACAATTTGCTGTTCTTTAAAGTTGACCTTCAACAACAAACAACCACACACACACAAACACGCACACACGCAAAGACAAACACAAAGACAAACAGACAAGCACAAACACATGCACACAAACACAGACACACACACACACAAACACAAGCACAAGCTCAAGCACAAGCGCAAGCACAAGCACAAACACAAGCACAAACACAAGCGCAAGCACATACGCACAAGCACAAGCAAGCAAGCACAAAGACGCAGACACACGCAGACACATGCACACACACACACACCCGCCCGCCCGCCCACCCACCCGCCCACCCACCCACACACACACACACACACACACAGACACACAGACACACAGACAGACACACAGACAGACACACAGACAGACACACAGACAGACACACAGACAGACACACAGACAGACACACAGACAGACACACAGACAGACAGACAGACACAGACAGACAGACAGACAGACAGACAGACAGACAGACAGACAGACAGACAGACAGACAGACAGACAGACAGACAGACACACAGACAGACACACAGACAGACACACAGACAGACACACAGACAGACACACACAGACAGACACACAGACAGACACACAGACAGACACACAGACAGACACACAGACAGACACACAGACAGACACACAGACAGACACACACAGACAGACACACAGACAGACACACAGACAGACACACAGACAGACACACAGACAGACACACAGACAGACACACAGACAGACACACAGACAGACACAGACAGACACACAGACAGACACACAGACAGACACACAGACAGACACACAGACAGACACACAGACAGACACACAGACAGACACACAGACAGACACACAGGACACACAGACAGACACACAGACAGACACACACACAGACACACAGACAGACACACAGACAGACACACAGACAGACACACAGACAGACACACAGACAGACAGACAGACACACAGACACACAGACAGACACACAGACAGACACACAGACAGACACACAGACAGACACACAGACAGACAGACACAGACACACAGACAGACACACAGACAGACACACAGACAGACAGACACAGACAGACAGACACACACACACACACAGGCACACACACACAGACACACACGCACACACAGACACACACACACACAGACACACACACACACACACGGACACACACACACACAGACACACACACACACAGACACACACACACACACAGACACACAGACACACAGACACACAGACACACAGACACAGACACAGACACAGACGCACACACACACAGGCACAGAGACACGCACACACACACACACCCACCAACCCACTCACGCACGCACGGCACGGCACGGCACGGCAAGGCGCGGCACCGCACGGCACCGCACGGCAGGCAGGCAGGCGGGCAATCAGACAGGCAGACAGACAGACAGACAGACAGACAGACAGACAGGCACACACACACACACACGGGCACACACAGACAGACAGACGCACACACACACACAGACACAGACACACAGACACACACTCAATCAATGAATCAAAGAATCAATGAATCAATCATTGATCAATGAGTCAATGAATCTATGAGTTAATGAATCAATCTGTCAATGAATCAATGAATTAATGAATCAATGAAGCAGTGAATCATTGAATCAATGCATCAATCAATCAGTCAACCAGTCAAACAATCGCAGAACCAAGCAAGCAAAGAAACAAACAACAGAGCAAGCAAACAAACAAACAACCAAGCAAGCAAACAAACAAACAACCAAGCAAGCAAACAAGCATGCAAGCAAACAAACAACAAACAAGCAAGCAAGGGAGCGAGCGAGTGAACGAGCGAGCTAGCGAGAGAACGAACGAACGAGCGAGCGAACGAGCAAAAGAGCGAACACACGGATCAATCACACAAACACAGGATGCCAGACCGATATTACGAGTGGTGCTCCGCACAGCCCACTTTTACACATGTGTGAACTTGCGTTCCACAAACAGGTGGTTTGGTAACCCTGATTGACATGTACCCCGAAGAAGCCATTTGTAGGATCTCTTCTCTTGTGAAATGGGCATCTTTTTTTGTTTTTTAAAGAACATCACTCACATTTTCAGTGAACCCACTAAACGACATTTTTTGGGGGGTTCCATGGTTTTAGTTGCAGGGGACGGTATCGGAAAGGCGGATGCGCCGACGGCGGCGCCTTTGTGTGGTGGTAGTGGCCGCTCGGCTCTGAGAGTTCGTGACAAGATCCAAAGTGAGTGGCTCAGCTTCCCTCCAATTGATGGCGGTGGTTTGGAGCCCGGTGGTTGGGAGCCCGGTGGTTGGGAGCCCGGTGGTTGGGAGCCCGGTGGTTTGGAGCCCGGTGGTTGGGAGCCCGGTGGTTGGGAGCCCGGTGGTTTGGAGCCCGGTGGTTGGGAGCCCGGTGGTTGGAAGCCCGGTGGTTTGGAGCCCGGTGGTTGGGAGCCCGGTGGTTGGGAGCCCGGTGGCTGGGAGCCCGGCGGTTTGGAGCCCGGTGGCTGGGAGCCCGGTGGTTTGGAGCCCGGTGGTTGGGAGCCCGGTGGTTGGGAGCCCGGTGGTTTGGAGCCCGGTGGTTGGGAGCCCGGTGGTTGGGAGCCCGGTGGTTGGGAGCCCGGTGGTTGGGAGCCCGGTGGTTTGGAGCCCGGTGGTTGGGAGCCCGGTGGTTGGGAGCCCGGTGGTTTGGAGCCCGGTGGTTGGAAGCCCGGTGGTTTGGAGCCCGGTGGTTGGAAGCCCGGTGGTTTGGAGCCCGGTGGTTGGGAGCCCGGTGGTTGGGAGCCCGGTGGCTGGGAGCCCGGTGGTTGGGAGCCCGGTGGCTGGGAGCCCGGTGGTTTGGAGCCCGGTGGTTGGGAGCCCGGTGGTTGGGAGCCCGGTGGTTTGGAGCCCGGTGGTTGGGAGCCCGGTGGGAGCCGGTGATTGGGAGCCCGGTGGTTTGGAGCCCGGTGGTTGGGAGCCCGGTGGTTGAGGAGCCCGGTGGTTTGGAGCCCGGTGGTTGGGAGCCCGGTGGTGGGAGCCCGGTGGTTTGGAGCCCGGTGGTTGGGAGCCCGGTGGTGGGAGCCCGGTGGTTGGGAGCCCGGTGGTTTGGAGCCCGGTGGTTGGGAGCCCGGTGGTGGGAGCCCGGTGGTTTGGTGGTGAAGGGTAGTTGATTGGTGGAGCACCATTTTAGTGGACCCATATTCTTTGAGAAGCACTTTGGAAGCTGGTCACCGGGATTCATCGGGAACCTCCCTCCAATTCGTGGTTGGAGCCCGGTTTTTTGGCGGTGCAGGGTAGTTTTTGATTTCCGAGCCACCGGGCCCAAACCACAGTTTTCAGGGACGCCTGATTGTTTCTGACCTGCTGAGTCGGCATTCAAAGTTTTTGTTTTCGGTCAAGGCCCAAACAAGTTCAAACCTTTGTTGGCGCACTCAGATCAGGAATGAAGAAACAATCTCGCACTTCCTGGCCTATCTGAGGGAACCCAAAGAAGTGTGTTTCAACAAACAAGTTTTTGAACGCCCTAGCATCTCACGAAGCTCTCGCGGCGAAGGCCAAACAGTTCCAAAGGAGTTTTGACCATAGCACCGACTGGGACATTGCACTGAGGGGGGGAATCGACCAGGTGTTCCATGTACAACTTTTTGTCGGGAAAGGTGGCAGTGAGAGCACCTTTCCATTAGGGTGCTACTCTACCCCAGCCCTTTGCCTATGGCATTGTTCACCAGGATCATGTTCCACCCACGTAACCACCAAACCAGAAATCCAAACCACCAATCCAAACCAACAGTTAAAGCGAAGCTGACATGTGGCCAGTGAAGGGCACTTGGAAGGGGCACCTTCCTACCGATGATTGGAGAGGTTTCATCATGTTTGCATTTTGCCAAAGTAGTTCCATTTTCTGACAAATGGCACCGCACCACATTTCAGCATTTCAGAATGCCTGAGAAGGTTGGCATGGTTGCGGGCTCCGCCCGGAGTTAACCCCATGGGAAACTGGGATGTTAGATATGAATTCCCACCTAGACAATGTCAACCGAAGGGTTCCTTCATGACAATTGACAGCCAAATCAATGGGAGGGTGGGTTCCCTCATGGGCTGCTGCGGCGTTGCCCGCGCGCTTGCGCGAGGTTCTGTCACCCGAGTACCTCTTTGTGCCCTTCCAGGCGCGCGGGGAGAGACTCCATCGACTCTTGTATTGCTCCTGTTTCGTTGTCGTTTGTTTTAGCGTTCTTTCCACTTCGGTTGTGTTTAGCTGGTTGTTTTCGTTTTTGTTTTTGTGAGTTTAGTTGCTTGTAGTTTCTGTTTGAGCTTTGGCTTTCGATCTGCTCGTTGTTGCTTTCTTGCTCGATGGCAGCCATGAGGGGCAGTTGAACGACAATGCTTCAGCAGAGTTCCTCTTCTTGAATTCGAGTGAAGTGCAAAAACAGTATGTCTAAAGACAACCAACTTCCCTTCATCGCAGGCGAATGTGCTCTAAGAAACCTGTTTGCCTTCTGTTGAGCTTGCACATTGGCTAGGCAGGGATAGGCACAATTGCTAGCAAAGCACACTCAGTTTTCAGTTCAGCCACGGAACATTCCGTGCCACAGTGTTTGTAGCATCATTACCGTGGTAAGGGGGATGACACTAGGCATGCTTCCCAAGATGGGGGGGCCGGGGACGCACTTTATTTGGCCGCCGTTGGCGTGTTCCGCCGGCCACCCGGCTGAAGCAGGGGGGGGGCAAGGGATGCTGCCACTGCGCGAGGAATCTTGCGGCGTGGCTGGATGCAACGTGTGGCTCTCACGCTTCTTTTCCTGTCTTGTACACCCCGCAGCCAGCCGGTCTCACTTTGGCCTTGGTCCGGTCTCAGCACTCCCTTGCAGCTGCAGCCCGAGCAACTTGCCCATGTCTGACCTTCAATTTGACACAGATGATGCTATTGGTGTCTGATTAGAAGGAATTCTGGCGGCGACTGTCACTCCCGCGTGTGGCACGGCTGAGGCACGGAGCCACGTCGAGCTCAATGCAGCAGAACTCCAGAAGATGGCCGCCGAGCGGTTAGAAAAAAGGGCTGCCCGAGGAAGGCAAAGGCAAGAAACCAGGTGCTTGGTAATCAGAGAAGTAACCGCAGAAATGAAATGTTTGTTGGCAACCTGAGGATGCTGGTGGAGCTGGACGTGGCTCCGGGCCTCAGCCGTGCCACACACGGGAGTGACAGTCGCCGCCAGAATTCCTTCTAATGAGACACCAATAGCATCATCTGTGTGAAATTGAAGCTCAGACATGGGCAAGTTGCTCGGGCTGCAGCTGCAAGGGAGTGCTGAGACCGGACCAAGGCCAAAGTGAAACCGGCTGGCTGCGGGGTGTACAAGACAGGAAAGAAGCGTGAGAGCCACACGTTGCATCCAGCCACGTCGCAAGAGCATAGTAAAATGAAGGAGGGTGTTTTGAAGGTTAGATCTTCTCCGCTCTCCGAGCTATCTGCCTCGGCCACAGCGCCAGACAGACGCCGCAAGCTGCGAGCAGTGGGAAAGGCGCAGCAACAACAGCACGAACAAAGACACCCAGAACGCAGGAGGGAGATGCCCTTGCGCAACCACTAAAGAGACACTATAGCCTCTGACAGGAAAGAGAAAGCAAGACAGAGAAGATCTGGAGAAGGGCCGGGAGGACCGACAGTAACCCGTCGCAGTGGACAACACGCGGCAACGACAGCGCGGACAACAACAGCCAGAACCCTTGAGCAGCGAGGGTGCGGCCAATGTCCGCTCTCCGCGGGTTTGCCGAGGGAGCGGCCTTTGCGCACAAAAGAGAGACGATAGATGCAGATTGGGAAAAGAAAGCAAGACACAGAAGATATGGAGGGGAGGGGGAGGGGGGGGGGGTAGCAAAAATCCGTCGCAAGGGAAAGTCTAAGCCACAACAGAAACAAGAACAACAACATCCACAAGACACGCCGGCAGGCCGGCGGATTCGTGTCAGTTGAGAACACCTTCTTCATGTTTGCTTTCTTGTTGAGGCTTGCGGAGGGAATACTCTTGGGAGCTAGGGAAACCTTAGATCAGATGGCCAAACGAGTCAGATTGGACACAGCCAAATGCATGGAATGACGCGTTTGGATCATTTTGCACTCCGGAACCCGGTTGGATCATACACCCGGGGTTTCATCAAGGCGCGTTTCAGAAGATCAAAATGAGGGCGAGACTTGTGTTTGACACCTTCAGATCTTTTGGCTTCGGAACTCGAACAGGCATCGGATGGCTGACCCTCGACAGGTTCTGTGGATCGGGCAAACTCTGGGTATCAACTTATCAGACCCATGGTTTCGAATCAGCGAAGGGTTTCCCAGAGGGCCACATCTATTGAAGGCATTGTTTTTCGATATGGAAGAAGCGGGAGTCAAACCAGCGCGGAATCCATCGTGAAGGTGTATGCTAAAACTGGGGGTTCCCTGACATTCAATTTGCCAGCAAGTTTGCAACCAGATCCACATGGCTCGTCATTTTTCGGGGAGACCCCGGGAATCCAAGTTGGTGAACTTGGGCATCACAACTGTGCCCCCCGAAACCTCCATGTGTGAATCATAGTCCATGATATAGTGAGTTATAGTTATAGTCTTGGGGGCTTGGCATGCAGAACCGGTTCCCCGTACCACACACCCGGCGGACCTATTCTGCCCCAAATTCCATCAAGACTCTTGGGGAGGAAATTCCTTAGAAAAGTCGTTGTTTTTTGGGTACCCCATGCTTGGCTTCAAAATGTAAAAAGAGGAATCCCACCAAGTCCCCTTTAACAAGAACACGCAAAAAGCACACAAACAAGCAAACTAAAAAAAGCACAAACCTTGAATGGAAACTGAAGTGGGCAACCGGGAAAGCCACCGGGTCCTCCAACCCGAAGACATCGCCACGCCGGACTTCCTCGTCACCGACGCCTCGGATCGCTGCGGACGCGGATCGGAGGCGACGTCTGCGGCTGCTGCGGAGGCGAAGCTGCTGGCCATGTGGCGTCAGAGGCGACCGGCGAAGGGCGCTGTGGGTCAGGTTGGTTCAGTTTTCTTCTTTTGTTTTTCCTTTTGGGGGGGGGGGGAGTTCCTTGTGTTTTGTGTTCGGGGGGGAAGTCATTTTAGTTTTTTCTTTCTCTCTGTTTTTTTGGGAGGGGAGGGGCTGGGTGATCCAGGGTGGAGTCGGTTCAAGTCAGTTCACAATGATTTGCTTGTTTGCTTGAGCTTCTGATTGCTGGAGCTTTGGTCGTTTGCCCGAGTTCTGCCGGCGGTTGTTTGTTGCTTGCTAGTGTTTGCTCTTTGGGAGTTCAGCAACAAAGTTTCGCAAAGGACGCATTCAGGCAACCCCCGATTGGTGGTTTGGATTGGTGGTTTGGGAATTTGAGTTCCCTGCTCTCGTAGAAGGTAAAAGGGAAACCGGCCTAACCTCCAAACTACCACTCCAAACCACAGGTTTGAGTTAAGCTGATCGTTGTATTGAGCGACCAGCCCATGTTTTGGATTCAATGGCGAACTGATCGCCCGCTGCAAGGATCTGGACTGTATATAAGTGGGCTGCTTTCACTATGAGCCAGGCTCCTGAATGCCGTGCTTGGGTTTGTCAAGGCTTCCTTTATCACGACCATTCAAGAGAGGCCTGTTTCATGGCAACGCTCGGATGTACGTAGTTTCCATATATGTACGTTTTGGGTATATGAAGGGCTTGATGTAAATCGTGCCTTCTCTTTGGGTATTCTTTTTTCATCTTGTTCATTCCCATGCCTGACCAACTTGTCGCCGGCAACTCCCACTGCAAACCAAAGCAAAGCAGCGCAGAACCCGGTTCCCAAACCCCCACTTTTTGGAGCGGAGCGACCCAAAATCGGAGGTCGCCGCCCGACGAGCGCAGGCCCCAGGAGCTGATTGAATTTGGTCAAGATGCATATGTGTATGCACATGTACTGGTATGCGTGTATGTATACGTGTATGTATATTAATATGTATATGTATATGTGTATGTTCATGTGTATCCGTATGTGTATGTGTATGTGTATGTGTATGTGTATGTGATGCATATGTATATTAGTATGTACATTTTGCAGTGTGAACATATGTATATCTATACAAATACACATTCATGTGTATTCTGTACATTATACAGTGTGCATACATACATATGTATATATATATATAGTTATGCATAGTGCGTACATAGTATGCATATTTGGCAGCATAACCCTTGTATTTATGAGCTTATGATTCCCTCTCGTCGCAGATGAAGCTTGCTCGTCGGAACCTCCCCGGCCCAAGGCAGGTTGGTCAGAGTCAAATAAGCGATGTGACTGTCTGGGCGTTTGCATTTTGGCAAAAAAACTCGTAAAGAAAAAAAGAAAGAACAAGTACTTGTTTCTGGCCAATTTCCTGTAGAATTTTGTGGTTCCATGGGCGTTTGCATGAAGAAGTCGCAGGAAAACATGCCGAGGGCCGTGTTGCTCAAAAGGAATGCAGGGCTTTGCAGACGTGCCATGCCTACCATGGAAATCACTGTCCGGCAGGGAACGGGGGCTGCTAGAAGAGCATGCAGTCACTTGCTCGCCTCGTGCTTGCAATGAGCTGCAACCATGTCAACGCGGTAGCCTAGGTTTGTCACAGCTCTTGTCCTGACAGGTTTAAAACTAGGCAGCGCATGTAAGGTTGAATTGGCAGCCTGGTAGTTCTCACCGGGGTGTTTGGTCATTTGATGTGGAACGTGACGGGCTGAGTTGGATCGTGGGAGGGGACCGTCCTTTGGAAATAGGAAGGACGTCGGAAGAAGTCTTTGGACATCAGAAAAAAACAAACATAAGGAAACCAGAAGAAAATCAGAAGGAGCTCAGCAAGAAATCCGAAGAAAACCAGAAGGAGCTTAGCAGGAAATCAGAAGGAAACAAGGCAAACCACATCTTGATACATGCAGTCTGGGTCTCAGCCTCTTCCTTCGTTCCCAACCTATTTGCGATGAGGTCTGCTCAGTGCCTCAAACTCTGGGCCAACACGGGCCTTCGGTACTCCTTTCCCGAAGCCAAAAAGGGGGTTCTGAGTAAAGACACCACTTCGCCTTTGGCTTTGGAAACCCAAAACTTCAGGGGGTCCAACGTGAAAGGCCCGAGCGGTCGATCGGGGGCTCTGTTCTGGGCAGCTCCAGATCTGTTGTGTGTTTGTGCTTTTCCAAGGTACGTTTGCCATTTGTTATTGAGCTCACCTATGTTATCCGATTCCAACTTCCCCCTTGGATCCTGTTCGCCTTGGCGCGCTTCTTTTTAGTCTGTGGTCCCGGATTTGATTTCTGAGTCACACACACGAAATGGGGCCTCGTGAGCTCGAAGATGTCAACACTCACTGCAGCACAGTTGAAAGGGCAGAGAACGCGTCTGTGGGTGGCACCCAGGATTGGTTCATTCCGGGGTTTCTCCTTTTGGCTTCGAATCCCCCACACCTTGGCGCTCGAAGATGCGATCGCCCCCGATTGCGACCTCCGCGCGAGGTTCGTTTTCGGGTCGGTGATCCACCGCTGGGCCCAGCTCGGCGACTCAGGCGGGCTGCTTCTGGAAGCAAACACGGCAGGGACCAGTTCCTTTTGGAACACCAAATCTCTTAGGAGCCTGGTGCATGTCATGGGAGGGAAGCAAACTCTTGACGTTCTTACAACGGACTGCGGCACGACTTGTGAACCACTGCTTTGCTTTCAGGCAGGAGTTGAGCCAGCAATCCTGACCGAGCGATTGCACATGAACGAACTCTTGGTGGTTGTTCTTATTGCTAGCTGCAGGCATTCTTCAATCAAGGGGTAAACAAGTGTCCAACAGTTGGGGACTCGCGACCCTCTGGTGTGCATCATGAACTTGGGTGATTTATGTCCATCAGCCACCTTTGAGGGTGAACCCTACAGCATAGCCAGCGGCAAGTTGTCCGTTGGGAGGCCGCGCCGTAGCGCTTCTGCACAAAATGCGGGAGGTGGTCGAGCCCGCGGCCCAGATGTGGCAGTCTGTTGGGAAAGTGCGGGGCTCAAGAAAGGTTCAGATTTTGCTGAACGCGCGGCGCATGGGAGTTGAGTTTTTGAGTTGCCACTTGTACCCAAGAAGGCAACCCCCGTTTCCTTTGGGTTTCTTCTGCGGCCATGGATGCACAGGAGCAACCTGTGCGTGTGTGGAGAAATTTCAGTGTTGGTGATGCGCAATGAGCAGGTTTGTCTGTTTGTTTGTTTGTTTGTTTGTTTGTTTGTTTGTTTGTTTGTTTGCTGTAGTTTGTTGGTGCGTGTGTGCTTGCATGCATGCGTGCTGATGCATGCGTGGATGTGTGCACCTGTATAGACACAGTGGTTTATTGGTGGTTTTCTTCACTTAGATGCTTCCCTGTACAGTCAACAAAGCAGCACAGCCCCTGGTTTCACGTGTGCATGCAACGCTCCAAATCTTTGGCACGTTGAACAAGGGTGCAGTTAGCACAGATCCACAGGTTGACCTGGCCATATCTCAAGTCAAAGCTACAGCTGCCTGCATCTCCATCCAGCTCTTGGCCTGTCTCGGGTCAAGCGAGCGGAATGCCCAGGCCCGATGTGGCATGCTACAATTCGGCCATCCACGCGTGCGCGAGGGCAGATGACCTGGAGCAGGCCATCAAGTCGTCGACGTGAACGAGCCAAGTTGTTTTCTTAATGGATTCGAGGCTCTCCTGAGAGCAAACACATGTGTTTCCAACACAAACAAAACACAAACAAAGCACACACAAGGCACACGGGGAAATCCATCCATGTTGGCTGTTGTCAATTGCCATGGCTAGAGAGTGAGACACTGATACGGGGTCTGTTTGCGTAAGCCAGTTCACATCCTGAGGAAGAAGAGATGCCCGAGAGGAATGCTTGCTTGTTGCCTGACATTTTAAAAGAGCACATGACTCATCATAGGGATTTCGCGGTCCCAACAAGAAATGGAGCAACCCTTTGTGCACATAGGACATCCGCATGGGTTGTCATGCAGGTTACTCTTTCCCAGGAAATTATTTCGCCCTCTGTCTGCGGTCCGATGATTCCAGGATTGTTGCGTTGGTGTAAAACGTGTACACTTGACATGAGACAATGCTGTAAACTGCAGCATTTTAATAAACCAATGCCTGAAAAAGCAACAGAACAAGCTTGAATTGAATCTCGACGCCTTTTCCGTGGGAATGAAGAGCGATCCTGACGATCTCCCCTTGCTTTTGCTCGGCCTCCGGCGGCTGCGTGTCAGTGATGGAGCTCGTTGAAGGATGCACGGGCCCCCGCAATGATGGGCCCCTAGGGCATGACCCCTCCACACGCTGGAGTGCGAACAGCAGCCTCTGGCTTTGGGGATGTGTTCGCCCCCAGAATTGTTTCGGTTTTCCTTTGGTGTCCCTTTAAAGCAATATGGGTGTCTCTCAAAGATGTGGAACCTCCCCCCACCCCGAAGATATGATGGGTTTTCCTTTGGTTTCCCTTTCAACCACCCTCCCAAAGCGTACCGAGGCAAAGTAAAAACCGAGCCCACATGGTACCAGGGTTCGTCGTTTGACTCGTCAGGCTTTGGCTAAGAGTAAGACCTGAGCCCCCTCTCGGTACCCAGCTTACGGGGTTTATACCCTTGCTGGTGCCTCGTTTTTTGTTTGTTTTTGAGATTCGACATTTTGGGGACCCGGTCCCCGTAAAAATCAAAGCAGCCACAAACCTTTCCCTAGGGTTCAACGCCCATTGAAAGAATGGTTAACACAATTCGTATGATGCATTCTAGGTAAATATAAGTGATTATATGAACAACCCCTTGGTTTTCATGGTGGTAGCTCAACCCCAAAGTCAACCTTAACCATTGGAACCACACATCAAAGTTTTGTTTTTGGCGGCGGCGCTCGGACTTTCTTGGAGGCCTTTCAGCTACTCAACGACATGACGCAACGACTGGCGCCCACCGAGCTGCCCGGGCCCAAGTTTGCCAAAATGCCGGATCCCAAGGTCTCCGCGTTTTTTTTTGGGAGGGGGGGCCTTTTTGGTTGGTTTAAAGGAAGCCCACTCCGTTCATGGAGTGAGGGAAAGTGGGGTTTTCCGCTTGCGCATGGAGGTTTGGAAGGTTGGTGGGTTTTCATTGCCCTGAATCGATGAACCTGCGTACGATTTTCCTTCCGAATTTCTTCAGCTTGCACCATCTAAGAGCCGACGAATGTTTAGAATTTACCAACACTGGCGACGTAGAGCCTCACCCAAAAGGCTCCGAATGTCCGTGGGAGGTTCAAGTATTTGGCTTCATTTGTTTGGTAAGGCCTACATAATCCTTGCAGACACGGTTTTGGTAGAACCAAGCGTCAATGAGGTTTCGGGGACTAGGGAATGGTTGGTACCCTCAAAAGTAGCGACGATTCCGCCTGTCTGTCGAACACTCAGAAAGACTGAAGAGTGTTCTTTGATTGAACGGTCAGTTGCAACAGATACCGAGATATAATGCGACTGAGGCGGGCATCAACGCCAAACGCTCAACAACACACCAACACACTACCAGATGCAGACATCAAAGGATCTTCAGACCAGGGGCGCACATGAACGACCATCGCAAGTGGACACGAACGCCTGAATGTTGGCAAAGCAGGTGAGTGCATGTGGCCATGAATTTTAAAGGTTGGAGCCCTTCAAAAGTGTTTGGCGGAAATGAAGCCCCGCCGAATTTTGATGTCCACAAAATAAAGGGCCGCCTTAAAAATTGTTTAGACAAGTCATAACCATGTGACAGAGGCCCTGAAGTTGTCCTGGATATCTTCCATCACATTCCCCTGTTTGCTTCAATGTCAATTTGTTCCAGCCTTTGCTCCAGCAGTCTTCGCTGCCTTTGAAGGTTTCCCCTTTGCAGCACCATCTGCAAGTCTCTTCCTAGCTGGCTCTGGCACGCCGCTGGCATGGTGATCCGAGCTTAAGGTACTTTGATTGAGCTTAGGGCACTGAGCCCCCTACCCGCTTTCCAACATGAGTGCAGAAGCTCCCGGCACGTGGAGGGTAAATTGGCAGGGCCCATGGCCTTCATCATTTCAGTGGAGTCTCATTCCAGAGGCGAATTTGCTGGTGGACTCATCCAGCGATGCAGGACCTTCAACTCACTCCTCAACGCCTGCGCCAGGCTCGGAGTCGTGCGATGCGCGACTCGCGACGCTTGGACGAGAGACGATTTGTTGCAAAGGGATGCCCTGCACCATCAAATCGCTCATGATATACACAGTTTTGGGATGTCCCAGAGAGAAACCTGATTTGGAGCCATCAGAAGAGAGGACCTTCTTTGGACCCTGAGACCTTCGCGGACGCCATTAATGGCCTTGGCTACGCGCTCTGAGAATCAAAAAACCATTTGTTTCATGTACCGGCTTTTTCCTTCTTGCACCACAACACTGGTGACGGCTCTCAGCAAGGGTAGTGACTGGCTTGGTCAAAACACCACATGGCTATGAGTTGCAATGGTTGGAGCACCCTCCCACATGGTCGGTGTCCGAATTCCAGGAGGGCTCATTAGCTCCCTCCCTCCCTCCCTCCCTTCCCCTCCCCTCCCCTCCCCTCCCCTCTCCCTCCCTCCCTCCCTCCCTCGGCTGTGATGCGTGCCACGTCTCAGGCGAGGCGACATGAAGGAGGCCGAGAACATGCTGAGGGCCATGCGGGCCAGGCCTCGGCGCCCGGCCGGCCGTTTTCGGCCCCCGTTTTGGGTGTTGGTATTCAATATTTAAAGGGAACCAACAGGAAAATGAGACCCGTTTGGAAGGTTTCTCCGTAAGAAAGCGGCAACACATGCTACGGTCAGAGGTCAAAAGAATACGATGCTGCAAAGCTGCATGATGCCTCGGTCAGTTGAGGGTGGTTTCAATTTCTTTACCCGGGGCAGGGATGGTCGTTAACTGGACAGAGAGTTTAGACAAAGATTAGAGGTCCTGTTGATAGAACCATGCCTATGGCCCGTGAAATCGGAGGCTTGACCATGGGTCAAGCTGGAGGTTGTCGACGTGAGCTCCGGGGCTCGCGCTGACTTTCTGGGGGTTCCTCAGGCACCCATGGCGTTGCTTTTCCTCTTTTCCTTTGAGAGGTTTCCTGGTAAAAACCAGCTAGAGTGCCATTTCGTTCTTCCCGCGGCCGCTGGGGTTTTGGGTTAGCCAATAGTGAGTCAGCCATATCCGAGCTCCATCGTGTCCACGCAACTCAGAGCAATCGCCCCTCGTCCTTTTGTAGGGCGAACTCCTGCTTGCATGCCCCATATGCGAGAAGTTTGCGGAACGCTTGTTCCCTTGCTGAAGAACTCTGGGCATTGGTGTGCGAGCTACTTTTGCCTAGGACCTCCAAAAAGGAGCCGATGCTTATCCGTGTTTCCTTCTCGACAACCTTTCTGGGGGGGGGGGTGGCAGGCAGGTGTGTCTCTTTTGATGGCGCCTCCAAAGTGGCGGGTTTGCTTTTGCGCGTTTTCCTATGAAGCCAACAAGACGCGCCCGATCTTTCGGCCGAATATTTTGAGACGTTTCGGATTTCGGCTCCTTTCCTAAGTTGAAGTTCCCATCGGCGACGGTTCCCCAGATGAATCGGGACCTCTTGACTGGGAGGATGCTCTCCGGGCAACCGATTTCGATCGGTTGGCCGTTCGGTTCTGTAAGACTCCAACTCAAGGCTGGTGTTGTGAGGGTGCCCCCCATTTCAGGTTGGCTTGAAGAGAAACCAAAGGAGCGCCGTGTTCGGGGGGTCCCCAAACGGGTTGCCATATTTTGCCGCCAAGTGTCCTGGATCTGCTCGTTTTAGGTTCTTCTCGGCGCTTTTTGGCGCCCAGGGATGGCTGATCTTGCCATGATACCTGGAGCCACAGATCAAACAAAAAAACTGGGGAATGTGTAGCGGATGGGTAGAATCTGATGTTGATATAGGGCCACGCGATGGTGTTTTGAGCATTTACTTCAACTCGCTTGCCCAAAGCGAATCGACCTTCTCACCTTTTAGTTTCCCTTCCACTCACGACCCCCAAGGCTTAGCCTTTGTCCATGGGGGACTCAGGGCTTAGGGCTGCATGCTTCTCAGGCGCTTGCAGCCCGACGGCATCAGCTACAACAGCGTCATCAGTGCCTGCGCCAAGGCTCGATGCCGGTTCCAGACGTCCGGTTCCTTCGGTTTTTCTCGTTGGTTGAATAGGGGGTTTCCATGTGAGTGTCGCTCGAAAAATGACTTTGAACTCCGTTTTGGGCCCGTTCTTGGACCCAGCAAATTCACAAGCGCACTAGAGTTGTCCTAACAAGGGGATAGGAGGCACTGGCATGTTTGTGGCTCGATTCCCCCTGTCCCCGTCAATTGCCCGTTGCTTGGTTTCGTTCCAGCCTCGCTCAAGTGTTGTCAAGGTTTGACTCTTGACATGTATCATTTCTGAAGCGAATGTGGCCGCTCCTGGTCTTGGCCAACGTGATAGAAGCGGGGTATTTGTTGATGGGAAGTGGAATCACGCTTCTATCTGTTCTAGAAACAAAAATCTGAAAATAGGAATCAGAACCCCCAAAATGGGTGGTATATCGCTTCACCACCCATCCCAAAAGGGGAATTGGGCATTTCAGCCCACCGTGAAATTTCGCTCCCAGAAGCAACCTTGACTGGTAGAAGGGATTGGTCACAAGTTCGTGAGCATGCCCCTTGTCTAGGTCCTCTCAAATGATACTTTCGGCCAGGTAAAAAACATATATCACTTGTACCAGTTGGTTTAGAGGATTCCCCCAGGCGCTTGATCGACCCAGAATCCAGAAAGAAAGAAGAGGATTCCCTTGTGAAGAAGGTGGCTCTTGTACAGGATTCCCTTCTACCGGGAATTCATTGTTCGTTGGATTCTTGAAGCATTCGGCGACCCAACATGAGCTTCTTCATTGCTTGCAGTCAACCTACCGGAACACATTCAGCCACAGGTTTGCTTTTCTGCCACAAAATCACCAAACCCGGGCTGCTGGTGGTTGCGGGGGTGGTCTGATGGTGGGATTTCATGTGGCCATCAGCCCAAGGCCAGATCTTCGAGGCGGGCGGTGAAAAAGAAAGGAGCTTTTGGTCCGGCAAAATAATTGCCAAAAACTGCTAAACCTGTGACAAACATGTCCCGCTTTTTCTGGGCCCCGAACATAGTTTTTAACTTTGGCTCACATGCAGACGATACGCAGATTTAATTATTAAATTGCTAGGCTTTCTGAAGCTTTGTGGAGATGGGATTTGCATCTCAAACCTGGTGCCGGAAGGTTAGTGAATCGGGGCAAAGCCGAAGAACTCACCACAGAATAGATCAAAACTGGTTTAAGAGAGGGAGGCTTATCCAAAGGATGAGAAGGTGGTGGATTACTATCTCCAAGACAGGACTTGACCTTGTCTTCCATCGGAACCAGCCGATCCGCAAAGGAGTTTGTAGGTTTCCGTGCTTTTGACACCAAGAATGTGGGCAGGCTGTATCCTGAAGCTCCAAGGGTCCAGGTCTTCTTTTCAATCCAGGATGTCAGAGAGCGGCATCTTGCAAGAAGGTCGCTCCTTGCGTCTTGTGCGTTCCGAAGTTCAATCTATCCGATGTTAGTACTTTTCACTGCGCTTCGGGCGCGGTTCTTCGCCAAGTTATCCGAAGGGTCCTTCCTTCGCATTCCACCAGCTCTCGAGTTCCGGGGAGTTTTGAGGCGAGCGCTGGAGTTTCTGGACGAGATGTTCGCGTGCGGCAGCTCGGGGGTTCGGCCGAGACGGAAGGCGTGGCCCCCTTTGAAGAGTACCATTTTACTCCACCACTTGTCATAAGGCAAACGGAGACCAGGTCAGTGACACCCATGGGTAATGATGCTGAGCAGTCATAGAGGAGCCCCTGCTTGTGAAAGCAGGGAGGCCACTTTGTGAGACCGCACTGGGGAGAGACACAACTCCCCCGCATTTCCCTTGTTTCTCTTTCAACACATGACATTTGGGCCAAATCAAACTGAGAATCTTACCTCTTGGGTACCCCTTCCTCAAGGAACTCATTCCAAGGGGATTCTGCCATCCCCTCCATACCCGTCACTTTCTCCTTTGGGCTTTTTGATTGTCCACAGTTTTCATCCGCCAGCCAATTTTCCCCGAGAAGATGATATCAAGCCCAGACGGCAAACTTTACCAAACTTCCCTTTGTCCTCACCAGTTCACCTTCACCATTTTTCTCCAGGCGTGCTTTCTTTCGGGGACCTCCAAAATGGGTGGGGGTTCCTTTTGCTTCTCCTCCGAAACCGTAAAAATCACAGCCTTTGGGTAGCTTCACCACCTCTCGGCCACGGATTCTGGTCGAGCCGATTCGAGGGAGTCCCAGCCTGACCTGGTGTCCTTCAATGCCGCGATGAGCGCCCTAGCGCAAGAAGGCGCGGCTCCAAAGTAGGGGATGGGGTTTGGGGGGGAGGGGGGGGGAGAAGTTGGGGTGGGCGGGGTGGCCGGGTTTTCACACCTAGGGGCTTCCTCAAGAGTGCGGTATCCTCTAAGCATGCCAAACTGGTCCCCGAAGGCGGCAACAGAAGACCACCCTGATGCGAGTAAGACTCAGGGACATTGCTGAGGATAAGGTTTCACAGTACCGCTCATTGTTCTTGCTCGTCGTTTTTTAGTTCTTATGGGCCATAGCCCCGAACAGGTTCAATCTCCGAAAGATCGAGGTGAAAGGCAGTGAGGGATGGAGCCATGCAGGCCACCTGGAACCCTCACCTCTATTGAGATAAGGCTCAGAGAGCATCTCAGATCACCTGATGCTTTGGACTTGTGATTCTGGCTGGCCAAGCAAACATCGGCTTGCGCGTTTTGCTTTTAAAAGCCGATAGGTTTCCTTTTGCGCCCGCTTTCACAGAGCATTCAAAGGGGCCACTGGCTTGACACTACTCATCCAGCCCAGTGCTTTTCGGGTATGTCTTCGGAAGGAACTGGGAGACTGCCACCCACCTCAGGGTCTCTTCTAGAGGAACAATGTCGTTTTCTAGGACACCCCCCCAATCTGTCAGGTTTCATGCTACTCTGAAATTGACAGGAGACTTGGACGAGGCGCACCGGCTGCTGCAGGAGATCCAGGAGTTTCAGCTGAGGCCGGGGTCAGCCATGACCTTGCTCGGGTTAAGACGAACCCACTGAAAACAAATCTCTCGGAGGTCCATTTCTTGTTTTTTTTTTTTTTTTTTTTTTTTTTTAAATTAAATATTCGCCCAGTATAGTTTGCTTGGCATGTCAGCCATATATATATATATATATATGTATATATTGGCATCTGCTCTTAGGTGGTCGAAGAGGGAAACACCTGCCCATACGTTTAAGAACAACCAGGGCGCTCTGTCTTTGTGCTCTCATTCGTGCCGCTTGCTTGCCGATAGTCTTTTCGAAATGAGAGAAGTTCTTCCCTAGCCAGGACTGTGGTGGACATCATTTACAGGATGTGAACCCCCCATCCATTTGGAAGGGCTTTCCAACCGTTCAGCCTGGGCCATGTAAACAGAGACACTGCTCAAGAGCACATTTGCATTTGCGGAGTCCTGGCAGGCCTTCCCTTTCATTCTTCAGGGTGTGTTTGCTTTTGCGAATCGGATGCCACATGTTGCTTTGTTCTTAATGGCTCGAAGGATGCTGGTTCAATATCCGGGGGCAACTTCTGGAGGTGAACACATGCGCAGTGCCCCAAGTGGCCCCAAATGGCAAAAAAACACAAGTCGGCGGTTCCAGTATATACCTGGTTCCATTGAGAGCAAGCCTTCACAACCAGGTTAGAACGAAATGTCAAAAGGTTTCGGGCGCTCACGCGAGTGTTTGTTGCTTCCCCAGGCATCATCACTAGGCGGGACCCGGCACCGGTTGGTGAGGCCGGATGTGTTCACCTACAGCTCCTTGATCGGAGCATCAGCCAAGGTGCGGCCATGGGGATTGTGCAGCCAGGGTGCCTTCTTTGCACCCTTGGGTTGTTTTAAAGGGACACCTAAGACAGAAGGCCCATTTTCTTTGCATCACCACAAAATTGGGGAGGGGGGGGGGGTGGGGGCCTGGGGGTGGTCATCAAGCTCTTAAAGGGGAAGTTAGAGAAGCTGCAGCCGGCATTGCAGGTTTTCTTATTGTTCTTGCCATTTGCAAGTCTGTTACTTTCTGGTTGGCCAAACGGAGAAGCTGAAAGCCGCTCAAAAGCTGGGCAGCATCATGCGCCCAGAATTTGTGCGTCATGGTCATGGTTCCCCCAGGAGATTCGAACTGGTCATGCACATGTATCCTTAAAGTTCCATCCAGTTTACTGGGACACCATACCCCTTGGCTAATGCCAATATGTAGCTTAGTAGAAGGGCCCAAATACTTCAAATGGGGTGGTGGGGCCCTTTAAACCGACAGCAGTTCGTCAAGATGCTGGGGGTAACCGGTAAACCATTCGTAGCTATTTCGCCCCGCATTTTGTAGTCTGGAGCCAGTGCGGGCAGCTACACCCCGTTTCAGTTTCACGGGGCCTCAAACTCAACATGCCCATGTACACTCGTTCCACCCGGCATGGAAGTGGAGGAAAGGGTTTGGGAAGAGTACCATCTTAACACAACCTCCATCCAGGATTGGAAAGCGGGCCCTGTACAGGGGTTCATTTTAGCCTGAAAAGGGAACGGGAACGACTCCCGGTTCCGCGATGTCTTGTTGAGACATGGATCAGGACAGCCCCTCACCTTTTTCTCCTTAAGGTACCCAGTCTTACCCTTCAAGGTACACTCCTCCCCTTTTAGGTGCACTCTTCGCTTTTGCCCCTCAAGGTACCCCTCCTGAAGGTACACCAAGTCCCCTCCCCCTTTTTTGAGGCACACCACGGAACTTTGTTTTTTTTCTCTGAAGGTGCCGCCCCCCAATTTCGGCACCGGTAGCGGTTCACGGTTTTCAGGCCGCGCAGCCGGCGGCCGCCCTGGCCTGGCTTCGGGAGATGCACACGAGGCCACCCCTCCCACCCCAAATGAGCGGTTTCCGTTGAAGGTTCCCTTTTAAATCCACCTCCGAAAAGGGTGCAATCAACAAATGCACACATCCACTTGGGTGTATTTTCTTGTTTTGTGGTGTGACCCCTTGCAGGAGTTCGGGGAATCCACGTTGCCGTATCTTGGTTCCGACCAGAAATTTGATCCTAAAACCCTGCAAGCCCATTGGCGAAATGGAGTGAAGTGGGCTCATCTGGGTGGAGATATGGTTGGAGCCCTGTTTGGTTTCCCTGAAAGGTTTCCCCATCAGGTTTGTTCAACTCAGACCAAATGTCAGAGTTTGCAATATGCAATGTGCCGATGTTCTTCGGGCAGACTAGTCAGCGGGGGCTGTTTGGTTTTATCCACGCCCCTTCGGCTTGTGGAAGCGGAAGAAACCGTCTCGCATGTTCAGACAGCCAGCATCAAAGTTTTTTCTTGAAACTTTATTGTTCTTTGTGAAGTGAGCGGCGTGAGCTGGAAATTTGACGACCCCAGTCTTGTTTTGTACATGCCCCTCCGGAGGCATGTGCGGCCCAACGCTGTGGTCTACAACTCCGCCCTGGCTGCACTTCCGCCAGAAGATGCGGAGGAGAGAGTGGTCCAAGGCAAAGATGTACAAAGCGAAGCACCAAGATTTCTGGAAACTCTTCTAGCCTAGAACTCCGACAAACGGCGTCTGTCATGTGGGTTTGCAACTTGTTTTGGGGAACCTCTTTTTGGTTTTAGAGGCAAACAAAAAGGATAACCACAATGTTTTTTGGGGCCGCCTAAACAACAACATGTGCAAATCCGGTCGAAGCCTCGAGGAGCTTCTGGCGGAGATGGTCCGGGAAGAGGTGAGGGGCGAAGTTCAGTTGGTTCCCGCAAAACCCTAACACACTCCGCTCCGAAGCGTTTTGTTTCTTCTTCTTCTTCTTTTTCTCCCCCGTCAAATGTATGAATTTTGTTGTTCTTCCTTTTGTGCTCTTGAGGCTGATGTCTGCACCCCACTGTGACCGTCCTGGGTGTTGTTGCAACCCATCCAGAAGGCCGCTTCTGGCGGGAGTTCTGATGGGAGTGTGTTTTTCTTCAATGCAGCAACCAAGAAACGTTCTCAACACAATTGGCTATGAACATGTACACATAGAAAAACATATATACATATATAATATATATATATATATATACACATATATATATATACATGTATATGTATATATATATATATGTATACATGTAATACATATATATATATATACACATGTAATATATATATATATATACACATATGCATATATATATATCTATATATATATATATGTATATTCCTTTTTAAGAGTTGGAACCATCAACAAGGGGGTCCAACCACTCAAAATCCACACCCAAGTTGCCAAAAGCCCAAGCCAGGTTCTCGGGGCGCGCTATTCATGGGCGGTGCCTGTGTTTTTGACCCAGAAGGTACCCTGCTTTCGTGGGTTTTAAAGGCAAACCAACGGAAAACCCACCCATTTTGTGGGTCCCCTAAAAAGAGCCCCCCCCATTTTGATGGTTGTGGACTTGAGGGCAAGAGGGCAGTGCTTTACGCATGTTCACTGTTCACTCTTTCTGCGCCTGTATATGTTGCTGCTATGGATTGCATTCTTGCAACTTCGGGCCTCCTTCCTTGGTGTCAGTGAGAGTCAAAGGATGCAAGAAGCACCTGGGCGGTTCATTTGACGGATTGGTGGCATTGTGTCTCATCAGCCCTCATGGACCCCTGTGCTTCTCTGATGTTTTCCAAAGTTTTTGGTAACATTGTCGAGTCAAAATGTTACTGATGCGTCTGCTCTGAAAACAGGGGATGAATCGAATGTAGGGATATCCGCGAGCCAATCTTGGCCCGGTTCGCAGCTCCGGTGCTTGCCAGCCGGTGCAGGCTGAAGGTAGATGGCACAAAGCAAAGGGGATGACGAGCAACCAAATGGACTTGTATGGAATTCAACCAAATGGACTTGTATGGAATTCAACGTGTGGCAGTTGCAGCACCTATTAGACTCTCAGAGCAAACAGTGGCGCAATAGAAGCATAGCTATGTTTGTTGAATAGTGAGAAGGCATGCGCAATTGCCTACACATGCACACTGGACTTGTGTGTGATGCAATTTCCGGGGCTTCTGACTGCTTCCAATCACTTCGGGGTGTGGATTTGTGTGGCGCACTAAAAAAAGCCAGGTTTTCCAAAAATAGACATCCCAAAAGGGGGTTTTCTTGCGCGCCATACCGGCTGTGTTTTCTTCTTGGCTTCCCAAAACAAGGGGCACCTCAGTCACCGCGAGCGTATGGCGCATGGCCATTGAGCTGGCGGGGGGCTCCCGGGTTGGATCCCTCCACCGTGGGCTTCGGTGTCATTTTGGTGTCCAACTTGAAAACCAACCGAAAAAGGAACGCAAAAAAGAGGGGAACTCCACAATCAGAGAGGCAATCTTGAGGGTTTCTGGGGGTTGATCGAAGTCTGGGGTCAATGAATTCCCTCCACGTGGTGAGTTGCAAGCTTGTTGTGCCTTCCCCCCCCGAAAAGTCGAGACTTGAAGGCTGACTTTGGGTAAATTCATGCCAGGATTTTGGCTAAGCTCAAGGCAGTTTCTGTAAACGGCCTTAGAGAAAGCCCTCCTGCTCTCACCTTCCGACGCCAAAAGAAACGGTGCTTAAGGCTCAGATTCCTCTCCGGACGCTAAGTAGGTGGGTCCCTATCCGCATCGGCTAGACACTTTCTCAGGGCCTTTGTCGCGTTCCGCACAAGGCCAACTCGGTGCGCATCCGAACATTTTCCAACGGGATACCTACAGAG